GCCTCAGCGGGTTTTACTCGAGATACTTCCTCGTCCCAAAGAAAGGGACTCGAGCTCTTCGTCCCATATTAGATCTGCGTGCACTGATACTGAATACTTAAGGAAGCACAAGTTGAGAATGCTCACTCATTCTACACTCCTAAAATTAGTGCGCCAGGGTGACTGGTTTACGTCAATCGACCTGAAAGACGTATATTTTCACATAAAGATATATCCACCCCACAGGAAATTCCTGAGGTTTGCTTTCCTTGGCGTGGCATGCAAATATCTGGTTCTACCATTCGGCTTGTCTCTCAGCCCCCGAATGTTTGTAAAATGTACAGAAGTGGCCCTGACTCCGCTCAGGGAGAAAGGCATTCGTCTCGCTACTTACATAGACGACTGGCTGGTGACAGCCTGGTCAGAGCAAGAAGCGAGAGAACACATAGTTATGCTTCTGGAACATATACAGAAACTGGGTTAAAATTAAACATTTAAAAGAGTGTTTTAATTCCCACACAGTCTATAATATATCTGGGGCTGTCACTGAACTCACTGACATTCAGAGCACGACTGTCGGAAGACAGGGTGAGAAAATTCACTTGTTGCATGACCGATTTTCAGAGGGGAAACTGTGTTTCTTTTCGCACATGCCTCAGACTATTAGGACTGATGGCCTCAGCCCTGATAGTTATTCCCTTAGGCAGACTGTTCATGAGAGACCAGACAAGTCATAACAACAGACGCGTCATTGGGGCGGCATTCACGAGGGCAGGATAGTGAATGGAAGATGGGGTCAACAACTGACCAATCTTCACATAAACTATTTGGAAATGCTAACCGTTTTTCTGACGCTGAAGCATTTTCTTCCTTTTCTGAAAGGGTATCATGTTCTTGTGAGATGGACAACACTACAGTCATGGCTTACATATACTGACAGGGAGGTCTCAGATCACTTTCTTTGCACACGTTACCACGCAAACTGATTTTATAGAGCAATGCCAATCTTTTATCCCTGAGAGCGACACACGTACAGGGTGTCATGAACCAGGGTGCAGATCTGCTGTCCGGGGGCAATCCCCTCGACGGGGAGTGGAAATTGAACAGGGAAGTGGTCGAACAGATTTGGAGCATATACGGCAGAGCGACAGGGGATCTGTTCGCGTCCCACGACAATGCTCAGTGTCCTCTGTTTTTCTCTCTGAAAGATCAGAGCGCGCCTCTGGGGATAGATGCGCTGGCGCACGAATGGCCTCGCACTCTCCTTTACGCGTTCCCACCGATAGCGTTAATATCCCCAACACTTTACAGAGTGAGGGAGGAGGGACTGAAATTGATATTAATAGCTCCGAGGTGGCCAGGGAAATATTGGCTAGCGGAGATCATACATATGCTGTATGAAGACCTGTGGTCTCTCCCGCTGCGCAGAGATCTTTTGTCACAAGCAGAGGGGGAGATTTTTCATCCTCATCCAGAACGCCTGGCACTATGGGCCTGGCCTGTGAGTGGTTCAATTTAAATACAACCGGTCTGTCTGACAGCGTTATTAGAACCATACAAAATGCTTCATCGACTAGGTCTCTTTATGAATGCAAATGGGGTGTGTTTGAGCGCTGGTGTGCAACTAAACACGAGATTCCCTTTCAGTTTTCAGTGGCAGTCGTTCTATCATTTCTTCAGGATTTGATAGATCAAGGGAAAGTGTTTTCAACCATAAAAGTGTTTCTGGCTGCTATATCTGCTTGTCACATTGGTTTTGATAACAAAACTGTGCGGCAGCATCCTTTGGTATGCAGGTTCACGAAGGGCTCGCGCCACACTTTGCCAGTTTCAAAACTGCTTTCCCCCTCATGGGATTTGGGATTGGTGCTGGATGCTCTTTCCATGTCCCCATTTGAGCTGCTGGACAAGGTTGATTTCAAAATATTGTCATTTAAAGGGATAGTT